GTTGTTGGTAAATATACAAAGCAGGGTGAATATTTAAAAAAAAATATTTTAAAATCTGGGACATTAGACAACGCTTTTACAAAAACACGCTGCTAAAGGTTACAAACATAGCGCTACAAAAGCGCTGCTATAGGTTTGGAAGGGGGAGGGTCTAAGACAGCGCTTCTAAAAAGCGCTGCTAAAGGGGGGGGGGGGGCTATGGCAGCGCTTTGTAAAAGCGCTGCTAAAGGTGGGCTCTAAGACAGCGCTTTGTGAAAGCGTTGCTAAAGGGGGGGATGGTTGGGGGGAATATGCAGCGCTTATGAAAGCGCTGCTAAAAGTACTGTTGAAGGGAGCCTTTAGCAGCACTTTTTCCATAAAAAAAAACGCTGCCTTTACCTTTAGCAGCGCTTTAAAGTGCTGCTAAAGGCCAAAAAAAGCGCTGCTAAAGGTCTTTTTTGGCATAGTGTACCATCAATATATATATATATATATATATATATATATATATATATATATATATATATATATATATATATATATATATATATATATATATATATATATATATATATATATATATATATATATATATATATATATATATATATATATATATATATATATATATATATATATATATATATATATATATATATATATATATATATATATATATATATATATATATATATATATATATATATATATATATATATATATATATATATATGATATATTGATGGTAGATTTTATGGTTTGAGTTTCTAACTTTTGTCAGAGAGATGAAATACTCAAATACAAATACATTTATCTTAAAATTAAATAAATTCATTTAATATATTTGAAATATTAATAGTTCATCATCAAATAATAATAAATTCATACAACATGTTTCATTCGAGAATAAAAAGATGGCCGTGAAGGTTGAATGTATGATGTATTACGATGGTACAAGGTTCTTTGATGCAGTGGAACAAGGGTGGCCTAAAAAACTGACATTTTAACACAAGTTAGTAAGAGAATGAGAAATGCTGGATTGATGGGGTGTAATTCATACATGAAAATGGTACATTAACTCCCATTAAATATGCGAGTTTGTTAGATATAAAAATGTGAAAGTGAGCGTGAAGTGCGGATAACGGATGACCATTGAATGGATAGGGCGGTGGAGACACGTTTTCAAATGAGGTAGCATGGAAGCGCCCGACACTAAATTTGTCTATACTTGTCTTGTTTTCCTTTCCTCGTGTTGGGCCTTTGTAGCCTTTTGGAACTCTTTTGTTGGTCTAGAACACTACATTTCAAAATGACGATAGTTTGCAATAAATTATAAATATTACAATTTTAAAATTAAGTTCATCATAAAATTAAAAAAACAATCAAAATAAAATTATAATTCATTTTTAAAAATGAAAAAATCGAGATGGAAACAGATAAAAAAAATTAATTCAAAAAAAATTATGAAACATAAAGACAACAACCAGAACAAAAATTAACAAAAAGATAGTGGTTAATAGAATGATGAAAACTATTCGAATAAAAACGACGAGCCATGAAACTTAAAATTTATGATGGACAATGAATCTTAACTTAGAATTTGTTGTAATTTGTGAAAAAAAATAAGTGAAATTGAACCAACTATTCATAACTCTAAATATTACTTAATTATACGTATCATTTTGGTTTATCAATTTCATAATTTTAAAAATAAAGCTGAGAATTGAATTGAACAAATTCTTTTGAATGAAATAATTTTTTTTGAATAAAACATAACAAAAGTAATAACTACTACTAAGTAGGAACGCCAACATTCAATTTAATATATTACCACCTACCATTTCTCATGTATCTACGACGCTCCCTTCTCTCTAGAACTTTTCTCTCCAAGTTTTTGAGTTTGATGTCGTCTCACACCTTTGTGATAACTATCATCTCCCACGCTTAAGGTGTAATTGGTTGTAAAGAGAAAGTGAGAAGAAAGAAATAAGTGAAAGAGTATGTAAGAAGAGAGAAATAGGTAAGACGTAAAGAAGATTTATAAGGTTGCTTGTTATAAGAGAAATATAAGAGAAATAGAAGAGAAAGAAGTGTGTAAAATTTTAAAAAGACAAAACTATCCTTATTTTTTAAAAAAGCAAATGGGATAAATAAGAATACAAGGGATATTCCGACCCTTACCGCAAAGACGGAAAAATTTTTTTTCAACCAACACTGCTCTAAAGCAAGATCCTAAATAGGATTCATACAAAAAGTAAAAAAAAATTAGAGTTGGAATAATGATTTTCCTTCAAAAGACCCCAATTCCAAACATTAAATTTAATGTTCCAACACACATTATCAATATTACAAGAACCCGTCTTGAAAATGACTTCATTTCTTTCCTTCCACAAAGACCAAATAACTGCCAACCATATTACAGCTCTATAGACTCTCCTGCATAATTTTTAGCTTCTGCACTCCAACAAAAAAATGATTACTGACACACCTTTCAAAATCCACTCCTAAACCACACCACCCTTCAATCGTTTCTCAGACAACCACCGCCACAGGACACAAGAAGAACATATGCTCCCCCGTTTCTGCCATTCCACCATAATTCACGCACAAAGAATCTCAAGCAATACCTCTTCTAATGAGAGCATCCTTAGTGGCCAATTTATCCCATAAACACCTCCACCTGAATAACTTAATTCTCGCTGGAACAAAAGAACTCCACAATAATTTGAACATTTTACACTGTGGATTCGACAGTTGATCTAACACCTAGTTTGTCATTTGCTGGTATGCTGACTTTACCGAGTAACCTTCAAACGCTTCTCCAACCCATTTAACTTCATCCTTGCCATCCAAAGTAGGAGAAATACCATCCAACACAACCATAATGTTAGCAAAATAAACTTGATTTTCTTCTTGACCTAGTACTTTAAACCCCAGATCTCCCCACTTCTAAACTCTATCACTCCAACTTCCCATGTCTGCTACCGTCCACCCTTTCTTGCTACTGTTTCTATATAAATTCTCGAAAGTCTCAGTCAACGGTCCATGATTTGCCCAGCTAGCAGACCAAAACGGAATGTTGATTCCATTACCTAACACAAAACCAATAGACTTGACAAAATCGCAATTAAAGTCAATTGATGCAGAACCGAATTTAAGAATGTCTTTCCACCAGCTTAAAGCGGAAATCCTAAAACCCGTTTTTGCTGACAACACCCAATGTTCCACCTCCTCACTTGTTAATCAAGACCAGGTTGAATTTTCTAATACATTTAACTTCTAACCCCAAACCAAACAAGAGAAATGAGACATCTTTCTTCAACTTTTTTCTTTCCTATTTCATCTAAAACAAACACACCCTTATAGTGGTTACTCCCTCCTCCATTAAGAGTACTATCCATTCCTTTTAACATCATCCACATGCTCTCACCACAACAACTCACTCTTCAATTACCCCCTTTCTCCATTTTAAACCACCGTCAACCCTCACTTCTCGTATCTACGACCACCACCAAGAAATGGAAAGTGCAATGGTAGGTTTACATATCTCAATCTTAACAACAATGAAGATACCACTTTTCACCTCCAAAACCGCCATGGATACTCTACACCTTGCATCCTTAGTCATATTTGTCTAATCTTATTTATGTTTATGTGATTTTTATTGTGTTTTTATCTTTTGTGATTTCTCTATTCATCCATTAATCTTCGAACATTCGATAAAAGTGGACAATATTGAGATCAAAGATAGTCAAAATGTGCAAACATAAGTCAAAGAAATAATCTGTAACTAGATTTAGAAAAAGACTGTGGATTCTCCTTTTTATCTTGCCATTAATCGTGTTCGTAAGAAATTGGTTGACTGAATGACAAGTTGTAGCTTCTGCTTATGGTGTGTTCGTGTCTTATTAGCTTGTGAACATTCTATGTGTAACATTTTTTAAAATTACATAAGTTTTTGTTTAAATTTGACTCTAAACTCTAAGTTAGAGATAAAGTATGTCTTTGTTGCGGTTAGAATAGGATATCAAACTATTAATTAGTTTGAATCACAAATTTTTAAATTCACAACCGATCTTTGATTTATTCGAAGGAAAATGTCAAATGAAGGAAAACCTATTTTTGCATTGTAAACAATGCAGGGAGAGACCTAGGTAAGGGGTTGGTTAAGCTTAGGGTAGCTTAGAGAAAAATGTCATATCTGGAAAAACATCAGATAGACACGACACAAAATCTATTTGGTAAGTGCCAAGTAAGTTGGACTTCGACCATGAGGTAAGACATGGATAACACGACCTCGGGAGAAATGCAAACGAGGATGAAACACTCATGATATAAATATATATATGTATATGAATTGTGCTATGAGAGTCTCATTTCAAATGTCCTTAAAAACACGTATGACGTATCGTCAGTGTTCTATGCATTATCTTTAAAAAAAAACATTCAATAATATAAATTGACACCAGAGATAAAATTTTTTAAATAAATTTAAAATAATCATACTTCACGGGCCCCACTTCATACCAAATTCTATACCTCTTTTTCGAAATTATTAATATTGAACAACATTTAAAACTATTAAATAATTTTATCGTTAATTACGTTTTGTTTCAATTTACTATAACACTTAAAGCCGTTCAACCATCATTCAAGTAGTATATCTTAACAAATAGATATGGATTCAATTTTTATAACATTTATGAAAGAAAAAAACCTAAATTTATAAAATTAAATCTATTATATTCCTTTCTGGAAAATAGGCCATGATACATCATACAACCATATAAACCAGAAATTCACATTTAAACCCCCCAGAAACCCAAATTTACAATAACTAAACATATTAATAAAACTAATAATGCCCTTTGTGAACTAAGAACACTACCATTATCCAATACAAAATACAACAATAAAGACAAGAACTAAAACTACTACTTCCCACATTTGTTTTACACAAAAAAGGGACAGAAAAAAAATCTGGTGGGGTCAAGAACCTTCTAATAAAAAAACCAAACATTTTAACTTGCATTGTTTTGACCAGAACCAGAACTAAGGTTAAGGTCAAAATTGGTATTTGGACCATTTTTCTGATTTCCACCATTCTTTGAAAGCTTCTTCTTCAACTCACATAATAGTTGCTGGTTTTCTTCATTCAAAAGCTGTGCTTTCTTCCTCAGCCTCTCGTTTTCTTTCATTATGTAACAGTTTTGCAAATACAGCTTTGAGTTCAATCTTTCCATTTCCAAATTCCACAACTTTCTGCAACTTCCTGAAAAATCAATAAGAGTCTAAATTAATAATTATTCTTTATATCTACCCGATTCGATTTCGATGTGTATAAATAATGCAATATAAATTGAGGTCATCACAGTATAAAAAAAGTTGAATATAAGATTTTTTTGTTGCGAACGTTGACAAAGAATATTAAAGAAAACAAAAAACAGAGCAACCTTAATAATGTTGATTTGGTAGATATAATTATGACAATTAAACAGAAGAAAAAGCATGGTGGGTGGAGGTCAGAAACAATTGAGTTTTTTAGGACCACAGAGACTATACAACTTGTTTGTAAAAAAATGAAACTAATGAAGATTAATAGGTGAGAAACCTGCAATGCACTCACTTGGAAGGGAAAAAAAGTTTCTTTTTGTCATCCCAAGAGAGAAGAAAAAGATAGTACTACGTTAAAAGAGACATGTTTTGTACTAAGATTGTGTATGTGTTTTTTTCTTGTCTATTGTCTATGTAATAAAAAAAATGAAAAAGTAATGTAGCTAGAGAAAGACAAAGAAAGCATTTCTTGTAAATAAAACAAAGATAGAACAACGAAACTTGTTAGAGAGAGAGAGAGGTGAAGAAAATGATCACCTTTGGGAGAGATTGGTTTGGTGTGAGGAGAGGATGAAGAAGGAGAAGGTGAATTGAGAAGTGAGTGAGAAAGGTGAGAATTTATAGAGAGAAAGAAAAGAGGAAGAGAGGAGAGGGAAGGGGGACGTGCCTCAAATCTGACAGAACAATCATGCAATTGTAAGCATGGAAGGCGGCCGGTTAGTAGCCTAAAAGATTTTATGTTTCTGTTCTGTTCTATGATATGATTATTCTTGTGGCGTCATGTGAATCATGATGCATTTTTTTTCTTTCTTTTTACCTTTATTTTTAAAATTTGTTTTTTTGAATATATTTTGTTTTGTTATAGTATATTTCTTTATTGGAAAGTGGAATTCAATGGTTTTTAATATGTTGAAGCAATACTTTGCTTATAAAAAAATGTAGAAGCAATGTGTTCTCGGTTATACCTTTATTTTTCTACTTTTATTAATATTGCTTTTACAGTCGATTTTATGGATTAATTAAAATATATCGTCAACGTAAAACTACCTTACACTCTCATTTAACTAAAAATAAACTATTTTGATATAGGACTCTGAATTAAAAATTAAAAAAATTAAATTATTTTAATAATTATTTATTTTATGTTTCTCTATTCTCAGTTAATAAAATAATTTATTCTAATTGAATGATTGTTTAAAGTAATTTTATATTTACTGTGTATTTTAATTAATCTCTAATTTTATTTGTAAAAAAAGTTGATAACTTTTTAATTAATAACTATTTTTTTAATTAAAATTTTTTATTGTAGATTAACAAAAATTATTCATGCAAATTAACAAAAATAATTAATATTGTATAGAAAAGAGAAATTATATATGATTTTATATTATTATCATCGTTGTTTTGAGAAATTTATAAAATTGGAATAAGAAAAAATAATAAAGAATAGAGGTGTATTAAAAAAGAGAAAATGGGTGATATATTGTTTTTACAATGTCAATACTATTATGAACTCCGCCGCATCACACTAATGTTTAATTTTTTTTTAATAATACAGTAGACTGTTGATTTTTTATTGGATCCTATTTGACCGTCATATCAATTAAACTCTTAAAAAAATATAATTAATATTGTATTAAAATTATAAATTATCTTATATTTATAATTAAAGACAATTTTTTTTAAAATAATTTATTAACATAACCAAGTAATGATTTTAATTTATCAAAATAACCAAGTTTTCAGAAAATTGTCCAAAATGGCTATGAAATCAACCTTAGGTCGCCATTTCAAATGGCGAATGTGTTGAAATTGCATTTTGCAGAATACCAATTCGCCATACCATCTGACGAATGTGTTGAAAGTGAGTTTTGCAGAAAATCAATTCGCCATACCTTCTGGTGAATGAGTGTTGTGGTGGATTAATGCGTCATCCTGATTGGCGAATCAGTACAATGCTAGGGTTCTAAAAATTCATTATTGTTGGTTTTATATTTTGAGTATTTTTTTTATATTCATTTAATGTTTTAAAAAAAGAAAAACAAATTTTTTTTTATATTTTGCATTGTTAATTTTTTTAAAACATAAATATTATTAATAAATTTAAAAAAATTAGATTTAAATGTTTAAATAAAATTTTTAATTAATAAATTTAAAATAATGTGGTTTAATCTTAAAATTTATTTTTTAGTTAAAAAACTTACAATAATTAGGTTTAAATAAAAATAATTTCTAATTAATTTAATAAATTTATGTTTAATAAACGAAAAACTTAAACTGGTTTAAATACAAAATAAAAATATAGTGTTGGGCAAATTTTGAGTGTATAAATGTTGTAAGGTTATTTAAGTCATATCATATATGGTACGTACTGTTTTTTTTACTATAAATATGACCGCAAACACATTTATGTTTTCACAACATTATATCCCAAAAGACTAAAGTGTTAGTGTAGTTCGAGTTGAGTGGAGTCTAGAATGTCTGCATTTCTAAATCAACGTTCTTCGTCGTCGTCGTCATCAGCATCGGAGGAACCTTTTCCAACATTCGATCTAATGAAAAGAAATGTCCTAGTTGTGTTTTCACCAACAAAGCCTCCGATGAAGGTGCTCCTCTGGAATACGCAGACGTTGGAGCACTTGCACAGGGAATTGAACCGCTGGCTAGAAGGAGACATTGGTCTAGGAGAAAAGATTAGGAAAATTGAGAGGCTGGTCGAGGAGACCGGGAGAAACGAAGTGACTCGTGAATGGAGAAAAGTGGAAAATGATGTCGGTGTCCTTGTGATGATGTTGACACCCAAGAAGATAAAGTTGATGGTCGTGATACCGTAGACGCTTTGGTGCAGTGTTCTATTTTAGGTCTTTACGTTGTTGTTATGTTTGTTTAATTTATGTTGCCTTCGCGCAGTGTTCTATTGTCATGTTGTTGCTGTGTCAGTTAACTATGGTTTTAATTGATTGAAACCTGGTATTATTCGAATGAAATTTTCTATTAATGGAATAAAAGTTGTTATTAATCGAATGAAAGTTGATATTGATTTAACGGGTCAAGATTACATTTGAAACTATGATCTGCTGCTTGATCCTATGTTAGGACATTTTGTTCGATTGTGTCCTGGTTGCCGACACGAACTACACAATCTCACCAGCTTGTCTGCGGTATCCATCTCAGTTCGAATGCGCGTGTTGTTAGGCCGACCCTTCTTCTGTCTGCGCATCAAGCCATTATGCCAAACAATTTTGCCTTCGTATTCAGGCCAATAGTCCTCCTTTGCCACGACTTGAAAGCTGCATGTGTAGACATTGCATAGACTAATGACTTGGTGAAATGTAGAAAGAAGGTTGGTTGGGTCCTGGCGCAACTTGGAACATGCTGCTATGACATGAGAGCACGACATACGAAATGCTTGAAACTTTCCACAATCACACCAGCTCTTATCTAATTCAACACGGTAACATCCCCTATGCCTTCCTTCGTTGTGATCCATAGACTCGACAACACTGAACCAACTAGTTGTACGGTCAAAGATTGTGACCACATGTGTGTTGGCTTTGGCAGCTTCCTCTTTCATGAATTTCATTGAAGTATCGTTATACAGCTTGCCAGATTGTAATACCGAACCGCACTTCGTACGTCTGCTATCAAAGAGTGATCCTAGCCTAAAATAGGTTGCCTTTACCAAGGCATTTATTGGGAGGTTTCGGATTCCCTTGAAAACAGAATTCATTGACTCGACGAGGTTAGTTGTCATGTGGCCCCATCGCACCCCATTGTCGTATGCCCGTGTCCATTTCTCCCTATCAATGCTGTCAATCCATCTTAATGCGTCCGCGTTGTTCAGTCTGATCTCGTCCCTGTAGTATCTGAATGTGGGTTCAGTTATTGCATATCCCGCGTTCACAACCTTCTTTCGCAGCGTCCTGTCCTTGATTTCCCGCATGAAATTTTGGGCAATATGCCTTATGCAATAGACGTGGGTCGAGGGAGGATCCTGCCAACCGTTGTCATGGTTGTTGTATGCACTCTCGATGGATGGGTGTCGATCGGAGATCAAACATAAGTTGGGTTGTGGAGACACGTAAGAACGGAGGTTTTTTAAGAAAAAACTCCAACCCCCAGCAGTCTCCCCTTTTACTACGGCGAAGGCTATTGGAAAAATGTTGTTGTTCCCGTCCTGTGCCACTGCCATGAGAAGTGTGCCCTTATATTTCCCGTATAACCAGGTTCCGTCAATTTGAATTATAGGTTTACAAAATGCAAACCCTTTGATGCATGGTTCGAACGCCCAAAAGACTCTGTGGAAAATTCCATTTCCAGCAACACAAGTCCCGTCTGGTGTACAAGCAGGCATCGTCTCCAATATCGCAACAGTTCCTGGCGAGTAGTGTTTAAGGGCCACGAGGAATTTAGGAAGTTCCTTATACGACTCTGTCGCTACTGCGAAAATCGGCGCCGGCTGACAGAAGAGTCGCCACCGTGCGTTATTTATCCCACGGGAGGTAAAGGAAACGCTCGAAGTAAACCTCGCAAAAAACGGGGAAAAGGTATGGTCGTCGCAACCAAAACCTGGGTTCGGGAGTCGGTTACGCAAGGGGAAGGTATTAGCACCCCTCACGTCCGTCGTACTCGACGGGATCCACACTTGTTTTCGGGTATGGATTGTTATTCTATCTAAACTATAGGTCGAGGGTTAAGAAGAAAATAAAATGAAAATAAAAATGACTCGGCAAAGTATCGCACTTTATGCCTACGTATTCCCGCCTGGAACGAGAAATCAGAGTCAACGTAGTTCGCCTACCTACGGGAAAGGAGGGGAAGGTTGCTCGCTAGGATATCGCATCCTATGCCTACGTACTTTCATACAACATGAAAGATCAGAGCAAACGTAGTTCGGGCCACGTACGAC